GACTCCCACCACCAATGTCGCCTCTACCAACAACGTCGCCTCTACCAATGTCGCTCTATTAACACCGCCGCCTCGGACAATGTCGTTGCCGCAGGGACTAACGTGGCACTGGGATCTGCAGCTGTCACGCCAGCTCCGACGACCGCAAATGGACGTCCAGTGGCAACCCCTGCACCTACGGTAACCCGAGGATCAAGGGCCACGCCGGCACCAACGAACGTTTCCAGTGCAGATCCATCTCCAGCACAACAGCCAGGAGCTGCCGCAGCCATTCCTCAGTCTAGTGACGCAGGCATAGCCGGGGTCCCATCGACAGCAAGCTTCGGAAATGCCAACAACCCAGTTGGAGCTGGACTGGGTGCCTCAGGTGCTTCTGGTGGATTCCCTACAAACACCGGCGGGTTTGGTGGAAATCCTACGGGCACCATCGGTGGCGGCTTCGGTGGTGGCAATCAGATGCCTGGTTTCGGTGGTGGTATGTTTGGTGGAGCTGGTGGTGGTATGTTTGGTGGAGCTGGTGCTGGCATGGGTGGTTTCAACGGAAATGGTGTGAACGGCTTCAATGGGAATGGTGCGGGCGGCTTCGGGCAACAGACGCGATTCGGCGCGCAAGGTGGGAACGCGTTTGGTGGAATTGGTGGGCAGGGTGCAAGGGGGAACTTCGGTCCGACTGGCAACAACGGATTCACCGGTGGCCAGCCTGGGTTTGGAGGTGCCGCACCGGCTGGTGGCAATGCGTTTGGTAGTGGAGGTTTTAATCGTCGCGAGCGTCAGCGTCGTCGTTGATGAGTGAGAGGTACAATCCAGCTTCAACTGCTGTTTGTTTGTTTTGTTGGTCATGTCGATAGCAAATTGTAATGTTCATCTCTCGAATACAACTGCACACCATATCTGTGAGGTTACTTTACAGTATAACATGTTACCGCAGTAGCAGAAGAATGCGTTGTACCAAAATCTACGCGGTAGCAGCAACCTTATTTACGGAACCAGCGTTCTGCACCGCGTGCCACATACCACAATGCTATGCGAAATCATGAAGGGAGTAAGAACAAACGACAAACACGTAAGTGACGAGTCATATACAACCTCGGAAAATTCTATCTTCGATGAGCAATTGAAACATGCTAGCAGTCCTTCAAAAGCGATCCATTATTACATTTGTCGCGACTATTTTCAGGTACTTCTTCTTGGTACAGATGCTATGGCCTTTATACGTTGTCAGAGTCGCGTTTAATGTAGCAAATATCTCACTCTCAATCACTTGGTCAAAAGTGTTACCGCTTCTCCATCATGTCTAAGCTGTCATCTCTCGCTATCACTTTACCTCCCACTTCGAGCATCTTCAGCAAATTGAAGTGTCGTGACGGGGAAGTCTCCGGTGCAACATTACAACTCACAACACTGAGTCCATTCACCAATTTGCGAACAACAAACCAGCCTTCCACCACCACCACCGTCTTCCAATTCCCCATGAAACCTGCCACTACCTTCGCGACAATCATGGCGGTAGGTGCTTTCATTGCAGCAAAAGGTGCGCCGAATGCACCTGCACTTCGTGGCCTGCGTATGAACGCAGATATACCCACAGTCAAAGAAAATACCGAGGAAAGCAGGAAGGGCCACCACCACCATGTCAAGAAAGTCAAGAAAGTCAAGAAAATCGCTATTCCCGTGCCTGTGGAGGTGCCGCATCTCATTCCTGTTCCCGTCAGCATCCCGTCCACAGTGGTAGCTGGCTCCAACACTGCCGTCGTTGACTCCACCACCAATGTCGCCTCTACCAATGTCGCTTCTACCAATGTCGCCTCTACCAATGTCGCCTCTACCAATGCCGCTTCGAACAATGTCGTTGCCGCAGGGACTAACGTGGCACTGGGATCTGCAGCTGTCACGCCAGCTCCGACGACTGCAAATGGACGTCCAGTGGCAACCCCTGCACCTACGGTAACCCGAGGATCAAGGGCCACGCCGGCACCAACGAACGTTTCCAGTGCAGATCCATCTCCAGCACAACAGCCAGGAGCTGCCGCAGCCATTCCTCAGTCTGGTGACGCAGGCATAACCGGGGTCCCATCGACAGCAAGCTTCGGAAATAACAACAACCCAGTTGGAGCTGGACTGGGTGCCTCAGGTGCTTCTGGCGGATTCCCTACAAACACCGGCGGGTTTGGTGGAAATCCTACGGGCACCATCGGTGGCGGCTTCGGTGGTGGCAATCAGATGCCTGGTTTCGGTGGTGGTATGTTTGGTGGAGCTGGTGCTGGCATGGGCGGCTTCAACGGAAATGGTGTGAACGGCTTCAATGGGAATGGTGCGGGCGGCTTCGGGCAACAGACGCGATTCGGGGCGCAAGGTAGGAACGCGTTTGGTGGAATTGGTGGGCAGGGTGCAAGGGGGAACTTCGGTCCGACTGGCAACAACGGACTCACCGGTGGCCAGCCTGGGTTTGGAGGTGCCGCACCGGCTGGTGGCAATGCGTTTGGTAGTGGAGGTTTTAATCGTCGCGAGCGTCAGCGTCGTCGTTGATGAGTGAGAGGTACAATCCAGCTTCAACTGCTGTTTGTTTGTTGTGTTGGTCATGTCGATAGCAAATTGTAATGTTCATCTCTCGAATACAACTGCACACCATATCTGTGAGGTTACTTTACAGTATAACATGTTACCGCAGTAGCAGAAGAATGCATTGTACCAAAATCTACGCGGTAGCAGCAACCTTATTTACGGAACCAGCGTTCTGCACCGCGTGCCACATACCACAATGCTATGCGAAATCATGAAAGGAGTAAGAACAAACGACAAACACGTAAGTGACGAGTCTCATACAACCTCGGAAAATTCTATCTTCGATGAGCAATTGAAACATGCTAGCAGTCCTTCAAAAGCGATCCATTATTACATTTGTCGCGACTATTTTCAGGTACTTCTTCTTGGTACAGATGCTATGGCCTTCATACGTTGTCAGAGTCGCGTTTAATGTGGCAAATATCTCACTCTCAATCACTTGGTCAAAAGTGTTACCACTTCTCCATCATGTCTAAGCTGTCATTTCTAGCTATCACTTTACCTCCCACTTCGAGCATCTTCAGCAAATTGAAGTGTCGTGACGGGGAAGTCTCCGGTGCAACATTACAACTCACAACACTGAGTCCATTCACCAATTTGCGAACAACAAACCAGCCTTCCACCACCACCACCGTCTTCAAATTCCCCATGAAACCTGCCGCTACCTTCGCGACAATCATGGCGGTAGGTGCTTTCATTGCAGCAAAAGGTGCGCCGAATGCACCTGCACTTCGTGGCCTGCGTATGAACGCAGATATACCCACAGTCAAAGAAAATACCGAGGAAAGCAGGAAGGGCCACCACCACCATGTCAAGAAAGTCAAGAAAGTCAAGAAAATCGCTATTCCCGTGCCTGTGGAGGTGCCGCATTTCATTCCTGTTCCCGTCAGCATCCCGTCCACAGTGGTAGCTGGCTCCAACACTGCCGTCGTTGACTCCACCACCAATGTCGCCTCTACCAATGTCGCTTCTACCAATGTCGCCTCTACCAATGTCGCCTCTACCAATGCCGCTTCGAACAATGTCGTTGCCGCAGGGACTAACGTGGCACTGGGATCTGCAGCTGTCACGCCAGCTCCGACGACTGCAAATGGACGTCCAGTGGCAACCCCTGCACCTACGGTAACCCGAGGATCAAGGGCCACGCCGGCACCAACGAACGTTTCCAGTGCAGATCCATCTCCAGCACAACAGCCAGGAGCTGCCGCAGCCATTCCTCAGTCTGGTGACGCAGGCATAGCCGGGGTCCCATCGACAGCAAGCTTCGGAAATGCCAACAACCCAGTTGGAGCTGGACTGGGTGCCTCAGGTGCTTCTGGCGGATTCCCTACAAACACCGGCGGGTTTGGTGGAAATCCTACGGGCACCATCGGTGGCGGCTTCGGTGGTGGCAATCAGATGCCTGGTTTCGGTGGTGGTATGTTTGGTGGAGCTGGTGCTGGCATGGGCGGCTTCAACGGAAATGGTGTGAACGGCTTCAATGGGAATGGTGCGGGCGGCTTCGGGCAACAGACGCGATTCGGCGCGCAAGGTGGGAACGCGTTTGGTGGAATTGGTGGGCAGGGTGCAAGGGGGAACTTCGGTCCGACTGGCAACAACGGATTCACCGGTGGCCAGCCTGGGTTTGGAGGTGCCGCACCGGCTGGTGGCAATGCGTTTGGTAGTGGAGGTTTTAATCGTCGCGAGCGTCAGCGTCGTCGTTGATGAGTGAGAGGTACAATCCAGCTTCAACTGCTGTTTGTTTGTTTTGTTGGTCATGTCGATAGCAAATTGTAATGTTCATCTCTCGAATACAACTGCACACCATATCTGTGAGGTTACTTTACAGTATAACATGTTACTGCAGTAGCAGAAGAATGCATTGTACCAAAATCTACGCGGTAGCAGCAACCTTATTTACGGAACCAGCGTTCTGCACCGCGTGCCACATACCACAATGCTATGCGAAATCATGAAGGAGTAAGAACAAACGACAAACACGTAAGTGACGAGTCTCATACAACCTCGGAAAATTCTATCTTCGATGAGCAATTGAAACATGCTAGCAGTCCTTCAAAAGCGATCCATTATTACATTTGTCGCGACTATTTTCAGGTACTTCTTCTTGGTACAGATGCTATGGCCTTCATACGTTGTCAGAGTCGCGTTTAATGTAGCAAATATCTCACTCTCAATCACTTGGTCAAAAGTGTTACCACTTCTCCATCATGTCTAAGCTGTCATTTCTAGCTATCACTTTACCTCCCACTTCGAGCATCTTCAGCAAATCGAAGTGTCGTGACGGGGAAGTCTCCGGTGCAACATTACAACTCACAACACTGAGTCCATTCACCAATTTGCGAACAACAAACCAGCCTTCCACCACCACCACCGTCTTCCAATTCCCCATGAAACCTGCCACTACCTTCGCGACAATCATGGCGGTAGGTGCTTTCATTGCAGCAAAAGGTGCGCCGAATGCACCTGCACTTCGTGGCCTGCGTATGAACGCAGATATACCCACAGTCAAAGAAAATACCGAGGAAAGCAGGAAGGGCCACCACCACCATGTCAAGAAAGTCAAGAAAGTCAAGAAAATCGCTATTCCCGTGCCTGTGGAGGTGCCGCATTTCATTCCTGTTCCCGTCAGCATCCCGTCCACAGTGGTAGCTGGCTCCAACACTGCCGTCGTTGACTCCACCACCAATGTCGCCTCTACCAATGTCGCTTCTACCAATGTCGCCTCTACCAATGCCGCTTCGAACAATGTCGTTGCCGCAGGGACTAACGTGGCACTGGGATCTGCAGCTGTCACGCCAGCTCCGACGACTGCAAATGGACGTCCAGTGGCAACCCCTGCACCTACGGTAACCCGAGGATCAAGGGCCACGCCGGCACCAACGAACGTTTCCAGTGCAGATCCATCTCCAGCACAACAGCCAGGAGCTGCCGCAGCCATTCCTCAGTCTGGTGACGCAGGCATAGCCGGGGTCCCATCGACAGCAAGCTTCGGAAATACCAACAACCCAGTTGGAGCTGGACTGGGTGCCTCAGGTGCTTCTGGCGGATTCCCTACAAACACCGGCGGGTTTGGTGGAAATCCTACGGGCACCATCGGTGGCGGCTTCGGTGGTGGCAATCAGATGCCTGGTTTCGGTGGTGGTATGTTTGGTGGAGCTGGTGCTGGCATGGGCGGCTTCAACGGAAATGGTGTGAACGGCTTCAATGGGAATGGTGCGGGCGGCTTCGGGCAACAGACGCGATTCGGCGCGCAAGGTGGGAACGCGTTTGGTGGAATTGGTGGGCAGGGTGCAAGGGGGAACTTCGGTCCGACTGGCAACAACGGATTCACCGGTGGCCAGCCTGGGTTTGGAGGTGCCGCACCGGCTGGTGGCAATGCGTTTGGTAGTGGAGGTTTTAATCGTCGCGAGCGTCAGCGTCGTCGTTGATGAGTGAGAGGTACAATCCAGCTTCAACTGCTGTTTGTTTGTTGTGTTGGTCATGTAGATAGCAAATTGTAATGTTCATCTCTCGAATACAACTGCACACCATATCTGTGAGGTTACTTTACAGTATAACATGTTACTGCAGTAGCAGAAGAATGCATTGTACCAAAATCTACGCGGTAGCAGCAACCTTATTTACGGAACCAGCGTTCTGCACCGCGTGCCACATACCACAATGCTATGCGAAATCATGAAGGAGTAAGAACAAACGACAAACACGTAAGTGACGAGTCTCATACAACCTCGGAAAATTCTATCTTCGATGAGCAATTGAAACATGCTAGCAGTCCTTCAAAAGCGATCCATTATTACATTTGTCGCGACTATTTTCAGGTACTTCTTCTTGGTACAGATGCTATGGCCTTCATACGTTGTCAGAGCGCGTTTAATGTAGCAAATATCTCACTCTCAATCACTTGGTCAAAAGTGTTACCACTTCTCCATCATGTCTAAGCTGTCATTTCTAGCTATCACTTTACCTCCCACTTCGAGCATCTTCAGCAAATTGAAGTGTCGTGACGGGGAAGTCTCCGGTGCAACATTACAACTCACAACACTGAGTCCATTCACCAATTTGCGAACAACAAACCAGCCTTCCACCACCACCACCGTCTTCCAATTCCCCATGAAACCTGCCACTACCTTCGCGACAATCATGGCGGTAGGTGCTTTCATTGCAGCAGAGAGTGCGCCAAATGCACCTGCACTTCGTGGCCTGCGTATGAACGCAGATATACTCACGGTCAAAGAAAATACCGAGGAAAGCAGGAAGGGCCACCACCACCATGTCAAGAAAGTCAAGAAAGTCAAGAAAATCGCTATTCCCGTGCCTGTGGAGGTGCCGCATTTCATTCCTGTTCCCGTCAGCATCCCGTCCACAGTGGTAGCTGGCTCCAACACTGCCGTCGTTGACTCCACCACCAATGTCGCCTCTACCAATGTCGCCTCTACCAATGTCGCCTCTATTAATGCCGCCTCGAACAATGTCGTTGCCGCAGGGACTAACGTGGCACTGGGATCTGCAGCTGTCACGCCAGCTCCGACGACTGCAAATGGACGTCCAGTGGCAACCCCTGCACCTACGGTAACCCGAGGATCAAGGGCCACGCCGGCACCAACGAACGTTTCCAGTGCAGATCCATCTCCAGCACAACAGCCAGGAGCTGCCGCAGCCATTCCTCAGTCTAGTGACGCAGGCATAGCCGGGGTCCCATCGACAGCAAGCTTCGGAAATGCCAACAACCCAGTTGGAGCTGGACTGGGTGCCTCAGGTGCTTCTGGTGGATTCCCTACAAACACCGGCGGGTTTGGTGGAAATCCTACGGGCACCATCGGTGGCGGCTTCGGTGGTGGCAATCAGATGCCTGGTTTCGGTGGTGGTATGTTTGGTGGAGCTGGTGCTGGCATGGGCGGCTTCAACGGAAATGGTGTGAACGGCTTCAATGGGAATGGTGCGGGCGGCTTCGGGCAACAGACGCG